TTCTTCCTCTTCGTCTTCTTCTTCTTCCTCTTCTTCTTCTTCTTCTTTTTCTTCTTCTTCTTCTTCTTCTTCTTCTTCTTCTTCTTTTTCTTCTTCTTTTTCTTTGTCTTCTCCTCCTCCTCCTCCTCCCCCTCCCCCTCCTAACGGTTGTCCAACTCGTCTCCCCCCACAGCGAGGTTGTGAGCAACAAAGACCTGGACGCCTCCAAACTGGGCAGCGGCAAGATGGAGGACCAGGTGGACGGCGGCCACGAGGAAGACCACTGCTCCGCCTCCGACCACACCAACGACAGCAACCTCACGGCGCTCAAACGTCCTCTGGACCTGGACGAGTCGGAGCCGCTGTACATCTTCGAGCAGCCCGGCTCCCCCTTCAACAACGGAAACACCTACGTCTCCTTTGGCAGCGAGATCACGGACCCCGGCGACGAGTACACCCCCCCGCCGCCCCTCCCCGTCGCCAACCACGCCCCGCCCCACCACGGCTACCCGCCCCGCCAGCCCAGCTCCCGCTACGAGAGCTCGCACGCCGGCTCGGCCACGCCGCTCCTAGACCGCTACACGCCGTCCGTCTTTGACTCGGACGAACCCGTGGAGGACTACGCTCAGTACCCCGTCTACGACTCGCTCACCAACTCCCTGCAGCATCCCCACCACCACAGCAGCAACAACTACAGCCACAATCCCAACCACCAGCATCACAACAACATCTACAGCCAGGCGGGCGACGGCAACAGCGCATTCCACAGTCTGGCCACCAGCGCGCCTCCCCTGCGGAACGAGAGCGTGAGCAGTTACAGCAGCGGGGAGCGGGGCGGGGGCCGCGGGGAGCCGGCCAAGAGGCTGAGCAGCTTCCACTACCCGCCAAGCGTCAACGGCTCCATGCCGCGCACGCCGGGCAGCACGCGCTCCACGCTGGCGTTGGCGCCACGCTACGCGATGTCGGAGAACCCTTACTCCATCGAGGGCAGCCCGCGCGCGGGAACGGCGGACATCTACGGCTACCACCGGCCCGTGCCCAACACGATAGACTACCGCGACTACCGCGACATGCGCTATCCCGGCGCCACGCCACCGCCGCCGCCCCACCGCATCACGCCGGGGAAGAAGAGCATGTCCGTGGGTAACCTGGGCTACTCGCCGCTCGCCACCGGCCCCGCCCCGCCACAGCCCACCAACACGGGTCCCCGCAAGCCACCCCGGCTGTTCCAGTCCCGTGAGTACATGGAGCTGACCCCACAGGACAGCGGCGCGGGCGGAGACTACATCACGTCTCCCGAGGCGCACCAGTACAGCCAGAGCTACGGCATCACGCCCGGCACCCCTGTCTGACACGCCTGGCGGGATTAACACGCTCTATCTACACCCAGCGCCGCCTACGCCCCGCCATCATCGCCCACGCTCACACACACACACACAAACGCTCACACACACAGAGACGCACACACACACACACACACACACACACACACACACACACACACACACACACACGACACACACACACACGCGTGACTCCATCTGCACAGAGCAATGACGACGCCAGGGTCGAAAATGTCCATGGAAGACATCATCAGGGTTGGCGAGAAGAATCAGTCAAAAAAAACTTGCCAATATAAATTCAGAACCCTGTTCCTATCACGAATGAATTATCAGTACACGTTTAAAAGGTGTGGAGATTGGCACCGATGTATCTCTTCGCCTGCTACGGAAAGGATTACTTACCCTAACCCTCAAATTATGGTGTGTGTGCGTGCGGTTGAAGACGTGGGCTTTTCTTAGAGGCGAAGAACGGCCGGCATCTGGAAATGCCAGGATTTATTCACAGGGTCCAAACACGGTGGTGCATTTCTCGCCGTGTGTTACTACCCACCGACAAGGGGGTACTTAGTAACGTGAACACTACACGAAGGAGTTCCTAAATGTTACACTTCGAAAATAAGGAACTTTCCTGTCCCAAAACCACTCGGATGGGTTCGTTATCCCAGGATTACTCGAATGGGGTCCTAATGGAACGTGGGAATAAGGAACCTTCCTTTCCCAAAATCAGTCAGATGGGTTCTTTTTCCCAGGATCACTCAAATGAGTTTCTATATGGAACGTGGAAATAAGGAACCTCACTTTCTCAACGTCACATAAAGGAGCTTCTAAATAACATGAGGAAATGAATACATTTTCTCCCCGCCCCCCACCCCCAAAACTCCCCAACACTTCGGTCCACTGAGAATGTGGCCAACAATTGACAGTTGGATACTCTGGGCCCACTCTCGGATACCTTGTCAGCGGAAATGTGCAAGCCATAGGAGGAGTAGTACAACAAACACGAACGGAAAACTGCACACACCGTGGAAAATGAACCACAATTGTTCCAGTAAAGTAAAGGATTACTCGGGCGGTGTTGCTTTCCTGTCACTCCAAACCCAAACTACAGCAAGACGAGAGAGTCTCGCCCAACCAGTGATGTCCAGTGGAGTGAAGCCAGAGGGATTTGAACCGTGAACCTTGAGCTTGTCGTACTGGGATAGGACTTAGTAGATAAGGGGAAATTTGAGGCATGAGGGAAAAGTTGAGATAAAGGAAGTCTGTTTTTTAAAAAAGTGGTTTTAGTAAGTGTTTTACGGCACTTGCAACTCAAAAACGTCATATATAAGCGCAGAAGATTAGAGGTTTTACAAGAGAGTAACAAACATAAAAGAAGGAGGGGAGATAAGACGGTAGATGTTTGATTGGGAAAGAAGACGCAAACCACACCAGAGCACCCGCCAACCACCATCAAGGAAGTCATGCCAAAGGAACTTTGTATTATTTTAGAAGATGGGGCTCTCAGTACTCTCAGTACTCAATGTTCGGAACTAGCATAGAAAGCAATTCCAAGATTCAATTTTGAAAATTGTTTCAGGAAAAAAAAAAAGAGGGAGAGTTAGGGGAAAACGAAAATTCCGCTGCTTTAGGAGCACCTGAAAAGAATCATCTCTCCATACTTGGTTGTATTCCAGTACGACAGCATCAGTGGTTCACTTCCTGTGTGTGGAAATACGTGTATGTGTACGTGTACGAGGCGAATAAATGCATGACATAAACTATGAACTTTGCTCAATAATAACATATTATTCAGAAGTTTCAAACTACATTGTACATGAACTAGCTATGTCACAGTACGTGTGTGTGTGTGTTGTGTACACAGGGCTGGGTCGGGTCGACAATGATTATAATGCACACCTGACATCTACGCATTGCTGAACTTTTTTCTTCTTCCTCTTTCTGGATGACAGTACAGTACTTTTTCAAAAGAATGCGCTTTTTAAAATAAATTAACACGGAATGAAGCAAAAATTGTTTTCTCATTACTCATTACTGTTTCCCCAAGTCTGCTGAACGCCAACTATTTTAAGTACAAGTGAAATTTAAAACGTACCGCCAAAAGTGTCAGCAAAGGTGATGGGGGAAGGGGGGGGATTTGTAGAATCTAACTACAGACTGTGTAATGAGAGACCACTATTACCCTACCCTCTAGCTCATACAGACAGTGTAATGAGAGACCACTATCCTATCCTCTAGCTCATACAGACTGTGTAATGAGAGACCACTATTACCCTCTAGCTCATACAGACAGTGTAATGAGAGACCACTATCCTATCCTCTAGCTCATACAGACTGTGTAATGAGAGACCACTATTACCCTACCCTCTAGCTCATACAGTGTAATGAGAGACCACTATTACCCTCTAGCTCATACAGACTGTGAAATGAGAGACCACTATCCTACCCTCTAGCTCATACAGTGTAATGAGAGACCACTATTACCCTACCCTCTAGCCCATACTCTGTACTCGACGTCCAGTGGAAATACTTTAAACACAAGGTGCAATAAGACTCGCAAAGTATTACATGATTACAATAAAACAACTGTAACTTTCTTGTCGTTGTTTTTGTTGGAAGGAATACTTGTAGAAATATCTGAGTGGACAGACATTATAGTAGAACTTTCCAGAGAATGAATGCTCCAACTGTTCCATACAATAATGATTATAATTTAATATTAAAATATTATTGTCCTTGTATAAAAAGAGAAAAGACATGCCCAGAGCATATTAATTATATATATATCATATTATTATTATATAAAGGAATTAGTTCCTTTTCCCCCTAAGACAGGCTGACAGGCTGAATGAGATTTTGTGAACTTTTTTTTGACAAGAATGATGACACATATCGACCTTGAAGTACGCCATGATACAAGCGCGGAAAGAAACTCTAATAACTGTACAGCACGCACACACAGTGAGTCATGCGTGAGTCGAGCAGTACCGAGATTTAATGACGAAGGGTTCTCAAACATTCCTTCACGACACCAACCATCCAGACTGAGACCATATTTTGATTCATGATATTTCCATTGAGATGATTTAATTGCACGAGAAGTCTTTCCTACTGAGTTTTTGTTAGAATAACACACGACTTTTTAACATTGTTTCGTTCCACCATTGATTGGTTGATTTAGAGTCGACATGAGTAATAATTTTCATTACATTACACAACAATAATTATCATTACATTACTCATTACACAACAGTAATTATTTCGACTGCTCGTGGAATTCTTTACAGCTACGTTACATCATCGTTGTTGCCCAATGCAGATCGTTATTACGTTATAATATAATTCTCATAATCACTTAATTATCACACCCATCTGGGGACAGGTGACCCATGAAATCATCTCTCATAACATGCAACTAATTAACGCAGTTCTTTATTTTTAGAGATTTTTTTTTTTCACCATCAGGGCTATAAATAGAGCTGGAAGTTTTCAAAGAGAGCACACGATGAGTCATGACCGAATATCAGACGTCAGTTCATTTAAATTGTACAGTTGATGTTGTTTTTGTGTTGTGTGTGTGTGTGTGTGTGTGTGTGTGTGTGTGTGTGTGTG